TAGTCTGCCTCCAGTGCAGGAGAACTGGATTCCATTCCTGGGTCAGGAAGATTCCGTGGGGAAGGAAATGGCAACCCACTCCAGTTTTCTTGCCTGGAGAATCCCATGGACAAAGTAGCCTGGCAGGTTACAGTCTATGGCGTTGCAACAGTTGGACATGACTGAGAGACTAAGTACACACGCGTGCATGCACACACACACGCACACACACACACACACACACACAATCTTATTTAGGCTTCAGAGACAAAGCAGAGCAGGCCTCTGACTTTGCCTCTAACCTGCCTGGACACTGCCCTGACTGGGAGTGACTGGGAGTGACTGCTGCTGTAAGTGCAGGACTTTCAGTACCTTAGATAAAATGGGGGAAGAATCTTGAGATTGTTGAGCCCCTGAAGGGGGCCTGACCAACCAAGCCCCAAGCTTAGCAACATTCCAAGTTTTACAAGACAAAACAAACAGAATTAACATGAAACTAGGCTTGCAATTTGGTCACAGATTGATGATGATATCAGTTTGCATCTGTCCTGAGATTATAAATGGGAGACCCAAACTGCAGTCTTTGAAATCTCACCCATGAATGCTGCCTGGGACCCTTTCCCAATTGGGATTCCAGATGTGCTATGACAGCAGCTGGGACTTCCCAGAGCTGATTGAGTCTGAATGTTGGTCAAAGCCCAATTTGGTGATGTATCTTCTGCTCTTTCTATTTGTCCTTTCTTTTAATGTTAGTATATTGAAAGTAAGCTCCATAATTCTCTAATAAATATCTGTATTATTTATTTCTATATAACCAGTGGCTTATTTTGTTAGCAAATCTTGTGAACCTGAGATGGAAGTGAAAACTTTCTGCAAAACAGATGCAAAGAGATGACCCACTGGAAAGACCCTGATGCTGGGAAAGATTGAGGGCAGGATGAGAAGGGGGCAACAGAGGATGAGATGGTTGGATGGCATCATCGACTTAATAGACATGAGTTTGAGCAATCTCTGGGAGTTAAGGACAGGGAAGCCTGGCGTGCTGCCATCCATGGAGTCGCAGAGTCAGACATGACTGAGTGACTGAACAAAAACTGCTGTAAGAAGTTATCACAAACCTGATGGCTTAAAACAATGCAAGTTTATTACTAATATCTTACAGTTTTAGATATTAGAATTCTGAGTCTCACTGGGCCAAAATCAAGATGTTGACATGGCTGCATTCCTTTCTGGAGATTCTAAAGGAGACTCAATTTCTTTGCCTTTTCCGGCTTCTGGAACCTGCACTCATTCCTTGGATCATTATCCCTTTCCACTGCTACAAACAAGCAATAGCTGTTTGAGTTTTTCTTATGCAGCATCACTCTGACACTGTGCTGCATCACTTCTACTTCTCTCTTCTACATTTTAAGAGCATTTGTTCATCTCCCTACCTAGAAACCTTGAATCACATATGTAAACTCCCTTTTGACATTTAAAAACATAGTCAAATTTGGATATCTTTGGGGGCCTTTATTCTGTTAATACCTGTTTGCATGCTCAATAGCTCAGTCCTGTCCAACTCGTTGTGACCCCATGAGCTATAGTCCACCGGGCTCCTCTGTCCATGGGATTTTCCAAGCAAGAATATTGGAAAAGGTTGCCATTTCCTCCTCCAGGGGATCTTCCCAACTCAGGGATTGAACCCACATCTCCTGTATTGGTAGGAAAATTCTTTACTGCTGAGCCACCTGTGAAACCCCTTATTCTACCTACTACCCATTTATTCCTTGTTATAAAGCCAAAAAAGGAAAATATCTAAAGATTTAGGAATGTAAGAATATTTAAATGAATATACTTCTATAACATTCTCATCCTTGCCCCAACATCTCAGAAAATGGCAAAGAAAACCTTCCTTTCCCTATGTCCATGAAATAACACATGGTAAGCATCACATTGTTTTCTAAATTGCAAATTTTTCTTGCTGTTTGTATTTTGGTAAGTCTTCTGGCTCTATTATGATTCACACACCATTAATAGACTGCCACATCTTTCCTGCTGTTCAACCCAATAATTATGACTGATCTGTAATTGTTGGAACCAGGAATGGTTGAAGTAACAAACTTCCAAAGGTATGAGAATCTGGACTTAGGTACATCAGCTGATTAGGTTTAGAGGCAGAGCAGATCCCATCAGTATTAAAAAATGAGACACAAGTAGTCCACAGTACAAATGGCAAAAGACTTATAAAATTTACCTGTGGTCACTTGAGTGGAAAAGACTAGCCTAAATGACTGCTCTAACAGACCTTTTGGGAAAGAATGAGAAATATGAATACTACTGATTATCTGATTGTTTTTGGAGCACATAAACAGAGAATATGATACTTTAAATTTGTGGTTCAAGAGCTGATTAAAGGACCAAGGAAACTTCCCTAAAAGAATCTTATTTTACCTTAGCCCACTAATAGAAGAAGGGAATTTTTTCCTGTGTCTATGTCATAGTGTGTTGAAGGGGTCCATAAATATATCCAATGAATATCACCATGACTAAAACAAGGGTGAAAGCAGATATGTTGACCAATTTGCAGCAGCATCATATAGATTCTCCTCAACTGGCTCTGGTCCAAATGGAATGTAAACTGACTAAAAGCAATAAAATAAAACCAGAAAATTATTGACTTTAATATCAAAAAGATGCAGAGGTGGTAATTTTGATAACTTTTTTACTTAATTTCCCTTTTTGACCTCAGTAAATGCAGCTGGGTATTGGACATTTTCACAAATTTAATTAGATAACTTCATTTGCATTTACTGTTGCAGATGAGGTCTGTTAATTCACTAAAGCAGTGCATTGGCAGATATTTAGATACATTTGCTTTCATGTTTCATTGGTGCTACTTCATTGGCATATTTCAGGGCTTTATCAATTTCTGTCTCTGTCAATATCTGCTTTGCAGGAACACTGATCATTTCATATATCTGCAGGACATAAAAATAATCTACTATATAGAGGATATAAGGCTGATAGATCCTGGTGAACATAAAGGGACAAGTACCCTGGAATACTTTAGATATATAGTTTGCCAAAGGAAAATGAAGGAACCTTCACCTTGGCGAAGTTTTGGAGGTTGGGTGGTCAGTAGCCTGAATTATTTCAGGATAGCCCCACCTCAATCCGGAGAAGGCAATGGCACCCCACTCCAGTACTCTTTTGCCTGGAAAATCCCATGGACGGAGGAGCCTGGTAGGCTGCAGTCCATAGGGTCGCTAAGAGTCGGACACGACTGAGCGACTTCACTTTCACTTTCCACTTTCGTGCGTTGGAGAAGGAAATGGCAACCCACTCCAGTGTTCTTGCCTGGAGAATCCCAGGGACGGGGGAGCCTGGTGGGCTGCCTTCCATGGGGTCGCACAGAGTCGGACACGACTGAAGCGACTTAGCAGCAGCAGCAGCGGCCACCGCAATCAATTTGCATCTACTCTTCCTGTAAATAAAAGTGACACAGTATTTGGTGAATCTCTTAGGATTTCAGTAAGCCATATATCAGTTGGAATTGGGCTCAAAGGAATAGCAAGAGGGCATCACTATAGATCCCGCAAACATTAAATACTTACAGTTTTAAGTTTAGGACTCGGAATTTTAATTAAAAAGGATAAATTTGATGAGAAATTTAACTTGCAAAACTGACAAGATGAAACAGAAAATGTGAATAATCTATAACTACAAAAGCGTTTGCATCTAGAAGTGAAAAAAGTTCTTACAATAAACATTTTCCCCAGATACTTTTCCCTAGAAATTTCTACCAAAGATTAGAAAAAAATAAAATAAAATCCATCATACAGAAGCTCCTCAAAAGAGTAGAAAGTTTCCAAATCTGGTTCAATCACCAGCATTCCAGATGTACTGAAACAGGATAGCATCAGACAGTAGAGCAATGGTCAACAATTGAGGATCCAGAGTAGAGTATGGTGTCAAATAAATGGAGGAAGGAAGAATTTCAGGAGGGAGATGCTGAGCAACATTTTCAAGTGCTAGAGATACAGTGATGGAGATTAAGATTGAATATTGTCTTTTAGAGTCTGTAGTTACATCTGAACAGAGACATTCAAATTTTTTTAATGTGATCCATACTTAAAAGTATATTTTATATCCTGGTTCAGTGCAACCATATACATATATAAAATAGAAATAATTCTCATATAACAATTATATATGCAATGCACTATGATGCTCTTTAAGCTTGTTATTCTAATTATGGCTGTGATGCAGTCTGGTAAAATGTATTGTTTCATAGTCCACTGAATATGCTTAGTGGAAAAGTAGTACCAGAAGTAAACTACTCTGAGCTTAGACTGGGAAATGCAAAGTCCCAAATAATGAGGCCATACAATTCTTTCAAGAAGTTTGACTGTAAGATGAGAGGACAGTTGAAACAATAGTGATAAGAAAATGTGAGTTTTCTTCATAATTGTTCATTTTGATTAATTGCATGATTATTACAGTGGTAAAGAATTGCCTGCCAATGCAGGAGACACAGTTTCAATCCCTGGATTGGACAGATCCCCCAGAGAAGGAAATGGCAGCCTATTGCAATATTCTTGCCTGGGAAATCCCATAGACAGAGGAGCCTGGTGAGCTACAGTCCTTGGGGTCACAAAGAGTCAACACAACCAAGCAACTAAGCAACAACACCTAGATACTATATCAAATGGAGTAAATGCTTTAAAAAAAAAAAAAAAACAGATAATGTGACCCTATTTTAAACTTTCAATATATAAATTAAAATTGGCAGATTTCGGTTAATTCCTTCCCCTAGAAATCTATGAAATGCTGCCAGAAATAAATCATGTTCAAATACTACTGTAATACAAAGATTAATGAGACCAGTTTCATGAGACAAAAATAAGTAAAGGACCAGCGCATCCCTATAAGGACTCCAAGCAGAATTTCCTCCAACTGGAACATAGTATCAGAGCATCAGCTAATTTGTATGTTTACAACATCCCTAGTATGAAAAATATCATGAAGCAATGACTTACTTTTCTTCTTATCTTGACCTTGATTTTCTATCTCATATGTAGTCACTTCCTGCCTACAAAGGAAAAAGATAATAACATGAGACTCCAGTTCTCTGAAGCCAAAGTTGCACTTGAAAGAACTATTTCATTGCCCTTAACCTAAGCTCATTGCTAAATTCATAGTTCAAAGGTTAAATAAAATTAAATGCTTGCTACTCCCTTTTCAGAAAAACCGTGAAATATAGTTAATCCTGTATTGTATAATTGAAATAGGCTCTCACATTTTAAAAAGGTAAATATGTGAGATGATGGATGTTTTAATTACATCAGTGGGGCAGTCCTTTCAAAATCTATACACAGATCATCAAGTACTCTTTAATTATCTTAAAACTTTGTCTTAAAATTTTATTTTTTAATTATACTTCAATAAAGGTGAAAAAAAGGAAAACCACACAAATCTAAGAAAAGAATGAAAAGTAGAGAACAAATTCCACAAATGCCAACAACGTATTTTATGAATTTATTGTACTTAGGAATTACTGAATTATTTAGGCCACATATATTGTATATTATCATATATATGAAAAGCATATGTGCAATATAGTGAAACTGGGAATGACCCAAAGGATAATATTGAAATTCAATTTATTTCTCTGCTGTTCTGGATGAGTGAGGACATCTTTAAAGATAAATCATAAGTTCTAGAAAGTATAATTACAAACTTGCAGTGACAGACATAAAAAGTATGGGCTAGTGATGAAAGAAATAAGAGATTATCTCTACAGCCACACAATTCCACACCACATAACAAAGAAGAGACAAAGAGGGCGTGAAGTTGCCAACACAACTTTTGTTTACTTTTCTCAGACTCTTAAGGGAAAAAATGGAAGTGACAAAGGATACAACCTATAATTATATTCCCAACTCAAAGAGGGTAATGAATATAAAACACATGTGTTCAGAGCAGAGGGAAGAAAATATTTGGTGAGGAGGCAATCTGAGAAAACATACTAAAATCAAAGCCTGAGTCTTAGATTATCTCTTCTCTCCCAAAAAGTAAAAGTGTTAGATGCTCAATCATGTTTGACTTTTTGTGACCCCATGGACTATAGCCCACCAGTCTTCTCTGTCCATGGGATTCTCTGGGCAAGAATACTAGAGTGGGCAGCTATTCTCTTCTCCAGGGGATATTCCCAACCCAGGGATCAAACCCATGTCTCCTGCATTCTAGGCAGAACCTTTACTGTCTGAGCCTCCAGGGAAGCACTCTTGCTAAACCAATGGACAAACACATATACTACTTTATCTCACAAATGACATGCTTGCACAGCAAGGTCCTAAGCACAAAGTTGCAAGCATGGACTGCACATAGATAGATAGATAGATAGATAGATAGATAGATAGATAGATAGATAATAGAAACAATGTAATAAAGACAAGTAAAGAACAAAATTATTAACATAATATACATGGAGCAGGAAAGTGGGCTAGCATAAATCAGGGGGGAAAAATTGAGAGAAATGGCAAAGCTTTTAGAGAAAGTAAAATAGTATTAAAAGCATGGAAAAGTTAAAAAAAAAAAAACAAGCAGTAGCATAAAAACATACTTGAGACTAAAAGGTAAATGGTAGAAAATAAAGAGGTAGAGTGGTTAGAAAAAGAATGATAATTATGAAAAAAAAAGAAATCTTAATATACACATAGTTATTTCAGGACATGAGAACCAAACAATTAAAACAAAAATATCCAAAGATATTTTTTAAAACGAACTCCTGAAATAAAGACTTGAACCTGAAAATTGATTTTATGGGTGAAAAAAACACAAATCATAGGGAACACTGTAATAGCTTCTGAACTTCAAGAATAATGAATCCTGGAACATCCATGGGAAAACATTACAGATATAGAATGCAACAGAACATTAGTGCAGAAACATCAAAAGATATTTTCTACCTCTTCTCCAGCTACAAAATGTAAAGGGGAGTTGCGAAGAGTCACAGTGAAGGCATAGCCACTCCACTATTTCTACATTTTCCTTTGTGCAGAGAAAGCATAGCTGCAACTTAGGAAATGACTGATTCCTCAAAAATTATTTCCTGTCACCAACAAACATCAAGGTCTTCCTCTCCATCCCCCATACCTTCACACTTTGTAAGACTAGAAAGGGTCATCTCAGAGACAGAAACACAGACCTTGAGATGAAATGATTAGGAAAGGGGTTGAGTACAAAGATATGAAAATCTCATGACTGACAAACAAGTCATGGTGTTTCTGTTAATCTAAGCAGTGGCAAGATATGAGTGTCCAGATATAGATTGCTTTTGCACTGCCTTCTTTTTTTTTTTTTTCCCCATGAGTGTCCTGTCAGGGTTGGGTAACTGATAGACACTAACAAGTTCAAACAGTGGTTAAAGCCTTCACAAGCACTTAGTCTATAGAGGAAGATGGAATGTAAAAAGCCAAACTAACAATATAAAGTTACAAGTTAAGAGAAAGGCATAGAAAAATATGAATTGATGCTTTCAAATTGTGGTGCTGGAGAAGATTCTTGAGAGTCCCTTGGACTGCAAGAAAATCAAACCAGTCAATCCCAAAGGAAGTAAATCTTGCATTTTCATTGGAAGGACTGACACTGAAGCTGAAGCTCCAATACTTTGGTCACCTGATGCAAAGAGCCAACTCATTGGAAAAGACCCTGATGCTGGGAAAGATGGAGGGCAGGAGGAGATGGGGGTGACAGAGGTTGGATGGCATCATCGACTCAATGGATATGAGTTTGAGCAAACTCCAGGGATAGTGAAGGACAGGGAAGCCTGACATGCTACAATCCATGGGGTCACAAGGAGTCAGACACAACTGAGCAACTGAACAACAGCAAAATATAAAGAGAGGGGCAGTGTAGAAAATCGACATGGTATGGAAACAGCATTCTTACATGGTCTAGTCAAGAAGTTCATAGAAATCATAAGAGCCAGCATCTCCAGAGGAGATATTTTCTGTCACAAACAAGGAAAATGAAACCCATGTGCACTAGCAAAACAGCATGAGCCAGGGCCCCAAGGTGAAGATGATTAGTGGCTTGAAGGATATGACTTCCTGGGAGAAAACAGGTGAGAATGCAGGGTGAGGAATGATATTGGAGACATACACAGGAGTCAATCTATGTTGAATTTTAGTCCATGGAGAAAAGTTTGGATTTTATTCTGGGTGTAATAGAAAAACATAGATGGGTTTTAAGGGAAAGACATGATGAGATTTATATTTCCCCAAATCATTCTAAGTATGTGGAATAGGTTAGAAGTGTGGTCATTCCAAATAACCAACCAGAAACAAATATCCTTTATATCAGCTATTCATTCATGCATTTGCATTATATAACTATTAAAAAACAAAATATGTGTACTAATGACCCAGTTTTCATGTTTAGAGTCTCCATCTAACATTCTGCCAAGTCTTAGAGGCAATCGCCAAAGAATTTTATCATTGAGTCTCTAAGAGATCTAAGATAGGACATTAGCTCTCATGGTACAGAGATTCTGGAAGTAAATCTCTGGTGAAAATGCTCTGAAATGCTGTGTTCTTACCGTTTTCTTTTCACGTCTGGGCTTACCTTCCCAAGCTCCTTTTGATTGTCTTTCAAGCAACTAGAAAACACACAAGAAAAAAAGAGATTGTTACCTCTCTCCAAATCTTTTTGTCTCCATTTTAACTTTCCTTAACATTTTTCAAAAAATAGGATACAATTTGTGTTAATTTTTGCTGCACAGTGAACTGTATCAGCCATATATGTAGATTCCACTCATACATGTTAATGCATGGTATGTGTTTTTCTCTGACTAATTCACTCTGTTTGATAGGCTCTATGTCCATTCACATCTGTATAAATGACCCAACTTTGTTCCTTTTTATGACTGAAAAATGTTTCCTTGTATATATGTATGACATCTTCATTATCCACTCACCTGGATTTAGGTTGCTTCCATATTCTGGCTATAGTAAATAGTACTGTAATGAACACTGAGAGGCATGTGCCTTTTGAACTATGGTTTTTCAGAGTATATGCCCAGGAGTGGGATTGTTGGGTTATATAGTAGTTCTATTTTTAGTTTTTTAAGGAAACTCTGTACTGTTCTCCATAGTGGCTATATCCATTTACCTTCCCACCAATAGTGCAAGAAGGTTGCCTTTTCTCCACACTCTCTCCAGCATTTGTTGTGTGTAGATTTTTTGAAATGGCCATTCTGATTGGTGTGAGGTGATACCTCATTGTAGTTTTAATCTACATTTCTCTAATAATTAGTGATATTGAGCAATTTTTCATATGCCTCTTGGTCATCTGTATGTCTTTCTTGGAGAAATGTCTATTTAGGTCTTCCACACAGTGAGGTTTTTTGTTGTTGTTGTTGTTGTTATCGAGCTGTTTGTATATTTTGGAGATTAATCCCTTGTCAGTTGCTTCTTTTGCAAACATTTTCTTTTCTCCTGTTCTCAGGGTTGTCTTTTCACCTCATTTTTGGTTTTCTTTGCTATGCAAAAGCTTTTAAGTTTAATTAGGTCTCACTTGTTTATTTTTGTTTTTATTTTCATTACTCTAGGAGATGATCAAAAATGATCTTCCTGTGATTTATGTCAAAGAGTGTTTTTCCTATGTTTTCCTCTAAGAATTGCATAGTGTCTGGTCTTATGTTTCAGTTTTTAATCTATTTTGAGTTTATTTTTGTGTGTGGTATAATGTTCTAATTTCATTCTTTTACATGTAGCTGTCAAGTTTTCCAGTCTTTCGTTGAAGAGACTGTCTTTTGTCCACTGTATATTCTTGCTTCCTTTGTCATAGATTTGGTGCCCATAGGTGCGTGGGTTTACCTCTGGGCTTTCTATCCTGTTCCATTGATCTATATTTCTGTTTTGTGCAAGTACTTTACTGTTTTAATTACTGTAGCTTTGTAGTATAGTAGCTTAACCAAACCCCAGGAGACAGTGAAGGACATGGAAGCCTGGCGTGCTGCAGTTCATGGGGTTGCAAAGAGTGAGACATGACAGAGTGACTGAACAACAGCTGAAGTCAGGGCTTTATTCCTGACAACAGCTTTATTCCTCTAGCTCCATTTTTCTTTCTCAAGATTACTTTGGACATTTGGGGTCTTTCACCTTTCCATACACACTGTAACATTTTTTGTCCTAATTCTCTAAAAAATGTTGTTGGTAATTTGATAGAGATTACATTGAATATATAGGTTGCTTTATGTAGCATAGTCATTTTTCACAATATTGATTCTTCCAGCCCAAGAACATGGTATATTTTTCCATTTGTCAGTGTCATCTTTGATTTCTTTCATCATCAGTGTTGTCTTATTGATTTATAAACATAGGTCTTTTGCCTCCTTGTGCTCAGTTAAGTAGTCCTATTCAACTCTTTGCAACCCCATGGACTGTGGCCCACCAGGCTCCTCTGTCCATGAAATTTTCCAGTCAAGAATACTGGAGTGGCTTGCCATTTCTTACTACAGCTTTCACCTCCTTAGGTGAGTTTATTCCTAGGTATTTCACTCTTTTTTGTTGCAATGATAAATGACATTGCTTCCTTAATTTCTCTTTCAGACCTTTCATTGTTAATGTATAGGAATTCAAGAGATTTCTGTGCATTAACTTTGTATCCTGTAGCTACCAAATTCATCAATTAGCTCTAGTAGTTTTCTAGTGGCATCTTTAGGATTTTTTTAATGTAGGGTATCATGTCATCTGCAAACAGTAACAGTTTTACTTCTTCTTTTCCAACGTGGATTCCTTTTCTTTGTTTTTCTTTTCATATTGCCATGGCTAGCTCTTCCAAAATTATGTTGAATAACAGTGGTGAGAGCAGACATCCTTATCTTGTTTCTGATCTTAAGAGGAAATGCTTTCAGGTTTCTCACCAGTGAGAATGATGTTTGCTGTGGGTTTGTCATATATAGCCTTTATTATGTTGAGATAGGTTCCCTCTATGCTCATTTTCTGGGTACTTTTTTTTTTTAATCACAAATGGGTGTCAAATTTTGTCAAAAGCTTTTATTGCACCTATGAGATGTTCATATAGTTTTTATTCTTTAATGTGTTAACATGGTGTATTACATTCATTGATTTGTATATATTGAAAAACCCTTGCATCCCTCGGATAAATCTCATCTGATCGTGATATATAATCTTTTTAATGTGTTGTTGGATTCTGTTTACTAGTATTTTGTTGAGCATTTGCATCCATGTTTCTCAGTGATATAGGTCTGTAATTTTCTTTTTCATGATATTTGGTTTTTATTACAGTGATGGTGGACTAGAGAGTGAGTACACTTCTCTTACTATTAAAAAGAAGCCTGCTTTTCCTTTCTGTTAAACTTCATTTTCTTTGAAATTGACAGTCATAGATACAGAATGCAATTTGGAAATTGACCAGAAGCCAGACTTATGATGGAACAAAATTCTATAATCTGATCCCTGATTCTCTCAGTTTAATTTTTTATAATCAGGTAAGTTCTAGGGCTTGGATTCATCATGATCTGACATGCAAATTTCCTGAGTTCTCCAGAAGAGAAAGGAGGTGCCAAGAAGGTTGAAAGCCCCTTACAATGGAAAGGTTCGGCCTCTCCAGTGAGTCCAGGTAGCATAAGCATGCTATATATGTCTATGTGGAGTACTAGGACTACTGATCCTGGCCCTCTGAGTCAGAGCAAGATTCTCTAAAGCCTTCTGTTTTGCCATTCACATACATGTAGAGCAATGTAATCCTCACCTACATTCAGAGAAGTGTATGCTGTGCATATTACTCTTAGGTTTATTCTCATTAATTAAAATCATTATTATGAGAATCAATCAAACACTGAATGATGAAGCTACAACCAGAGGAACCAGTGACTTGAATGATTATATAATGGTTACAGAATAATTCATCAGAGACCAAAGCCCATGATTCAGTTAATCAAATTTTTCACTATGTGCATTGTACAAACATAGCATTTCTTGGACTAGTCTTTTCCCACTAGTATCAAATCCTCAAAAATTGTGTATTTGCTTTCTTCTATATAAGGGTTCATGTAAAATATCTCAGACTATGAGCCTCATACTTGCTTACTGACATTATTGACAGAAGTCATTTCTTCAATATTAGTGTTTAAAGTTCAAGAAACTTTGTTAGATATTGACATATAGGACTACTAAGCAAAGAGTTGAACTTGTTAAAAATACAGAGTAAATCAGATTTGCAGAGGAAGGGAACCTTTTCCTTTGATTCTGATGTAGAGATTTCTGGGTAGTATTCAAAAACTCTCAAATTTGGAAGTTATAATTACTTAACAGTATAGATTGTGAATCAGGAAAAATTTAATCTCAGTGTCCCCTATCTTCTTTTCTTTTTCTGTTTCCCTAGAATCCAGTTTCTCATGATTTCTTTTTTCCAATCTGATCAGTGAAGATTCTCCTTGAAGTTTTCAATGATTCACTAATTTACCCTTCTCAGGGCTGTTTGTATTTCAAAATTAAAAAAACAGGGTCATAAAGTTCCTAATTTAGAAGACACTTAATTGGAATTCATTGTCATTAGAATTACTATACATAAATAGGCACTTATTAATTGTCATGCATAAAGTAAAAGATTTTGTTTTAACCAAACAGAATTCAGATACCATCAGGCATTGATAATATACAAAGACTTATTGAATGAATTAATAAATTGTCAATATTCTATCATTTAAAAACCACATATTAATCTTAAAATGTATGCTGGCCAAAGTACTGAGATAAGGGCTGATTTTTCCATATTTTCTGCGCTTTTTTCCTTTCTTTTTAAAAATGTTTCAAATGTATGACTTTAACTTTTTAATACATCATAGTTCCACAAAAGAAATCTAAATAAACACCGAAATGCAATAATTTGAACAATATTTCTCCATCCAATTTGAGAATTTTTATTTTCCATAAATTCTTCTTTCCACCTCAAGAAGACTCTTCAAAATTTCATTTAGTTTAGGTTTGGTACTGATGAAAACTTTTTAGATTTGCTTGTCTGAGATAATTTTTATCTCACCTTCTATTCTAATTGAGTAGAATATCCTAAGTGCTGGACAATATTTTTGATGAGTATATGTACATGCTCAGATGTGTCCAACTCTTTCCTACCTCAAGAACCATAGCCTGTCAGACTCCTCTGTCCATAGAATTTTCCAGGCAAGATTACTGGAGTTGGTTGCCATTTCCTATTCCAGGGCATATTCCTGACCAAGGGATCAAACCTACATCTCTTCTGTCTCCTGCCTTGACAAGCAGATTCTTTACCACTTGAGCCATCTGGGAATTGCCCAGATGAATATTTTGATGAATGCAGATGCAAAAATTCTCAACAGAATATTCGCAAATGAAATACAACCATATGTTAAAAGAATAATATACCATGATTGTGTTGGATTTATTCAAGGAACACAACAATGGTTCAATGTTTGCAAATCAATCAGTGAGACATACAAAATTAGCAAGAGGAAGGATAAAAATAATGTGATCATCTCAACAGATGAGAAAAATGCATTTGACAAAATTTAACATCCATTCATGATTAAAATCATGATTAAAACTTTTACCGAACTGGGTATAGAGGGAATATAGAATGGGAAAGACTAGAGAT